ATTTTTCTCGTACATATAATTATTAGTATAGTATATGTTAAATAATGAAAGGAGGAAGATCTAAGGTATAGAACACTTTTCCAATATTTTAATACTGATTAGAGATAAAAATGATGATTTATTTCGAAATTATATATTCTATATCTCTATCTTATTCTACAAAAATATTATATATAATAACTATTAAAAACAAATAATAAATTTTGCATAGGTAAACCATATATCAGGTCATTTAAATCAATCGCTTTTCAAATGCATAACTGCAAATTCACGATCGATAATATTTCAATAATCCTTTAATATTACCTATCAAAATCTTGGAATAGCTATTAACCTATATTCTTCATCACTCGCATATCATCGAAATAATTCGAGAAGAAATCGTGTACGATATACGAAAAGAAAATCTTCAACTTTAACCTTCCCCTCCTTGAATTCAATTTCACGTATACGACAGACACTTCCGTAAGAAACGATCCAAAAAATCCGTAATATGAAAATCCTTTCCCAAGAATTTCTCTCCTCTCCCCTTCTCCCTCTCGAATTAGTATCATCTTTGCCAAGTTCCAGGTGACAGGATCCAAGAAATCGAGGAAAGTGGGGAAGGGAAAAAACATCGGCCGCGGCCGATTTCGCGGAAAGTGAACTTAGCGAAACTATTCCGTCGGGGTGGTGAAGTAGTTAGAAACTAGTTCGACATTCAATTTCTGTCCTTGGGACGATTTGTCCATCACCGGGAAAAGGCGGAACGACGACTTGCACGCTCCACGGATTCCATATCGTGGCCAACGACTCGTATCTGTTAGAGTAAGTTTCCGTTGCCGCGAAAACTAAGTACGAAGTATAACCGTGCTTTAAAAGCGGTGGGATTGAGCCTCGAGTTGCGACTCGAGGAGGAAGGGGAGGGGGAGGAGAATCTCTTTCGCCCTCAGCTTCTCGGGAAATCTGATACGGTTCTTCGTGGTATCGCAAAAACTTCTCTTTCCCTCCGCGAGTTTCCCTCCCTCCCTCCCTCCCCCGCCACGCGAAATACTTTCTATCATCCCAACAAACGTTTCACCCCGGATTGGGGCGAGAGATAAGATACCGCTAAGCTATTATCCACATTGCTTATTGTCCGTGGCTTCCGCGGAATTGACTGGGAACTGAACTCGCTATTCAATCGTTGATTGCGTAATTGTTTTTCCATTTCGCCATTGCAATCTGGATTTCCCTTCTTCGCCTTATTTCCCGGATTGGCTCGAAGGACAAGAAAATAGGGAGGATAGGCGGGGGAGAGAGAGAGAGAGAGAGAGAAGAAGATTTGTCTTTGATTAAAATAAAACTCGTGTAAACTCGTGTTTGAATATTCCATTTCATTTCAATTTTTAATGTATTTGAGTTTGAACATCGATTAGATAGTTTGGTACCGCGGTAGAATAGAGGAAAGGGTGTGAGATAGAGATTTTTTTTTCATAGCAATTATTGTACGATCGTTTATAATTTGAGTTTGTTTTTATTTAAAAAAAAAATCAAAAATTCATTCTGTAAGATCCAATGATATTTATTTTTATGTAAAATTTCTCAAAATTTTTTTAGTTCATTTCAATCCTTTCATTTATTATTACTATTTCGAAATAAACTTTTTACGCCAAAAAAATAAAACAGGTATCCCTTGATACTCGTATCTTTATTCTCGGAACGATTGAAAAATGAGAAAAATCCTTGTTATTTTTTTTTCCTTTTCGCGGAAAAGCGCGACACAAGTAACGGAATACTGAAGTTCGAGATTCTTGAAATTCGTTTACCGCACTTTCGAAATCCTCTTAAGGGATACGTTCCCAGCGGAGAGGTAATTTTTGCACGATTTAAGATGACAAAATAAAACGCGGGAAAGGAAGCGGTTGTTACGGTTGTACGCAAAGAGATAGACGCGTACTTTTGTGCAACCGAGCAGAGATTTAACGCGAAATTCAGCCGTGTGCATACATGGGCGAGGGGTAAGAGCGACAAAGAGAGAGAAACGTGCGCTTTTTCGACGATGGAGAATCGATTGGACACCACCTCGCCTCTTGCAAGTCACAGTAAACAGAAAGTAACGCCGAAACTCTCTCTGCCGCAATAACGAATAACGTGGAGTCAAAATTAAAGACGCGTATATAAACATGAAGACTAGAGATCGAGAGGATATTGCTCTGCCCTGTTTGTTGCAAATCGCTAATCAGAACTATCTCATCTGTGTGCGCTATTTTCGGAAGCCAGAGCAATTTTAATTAAAACATGCCGTGCGTTTTCATTAAACCGCCGCGATATATACTCGCGGAACATACGCCAGGTTTATGCGGAGAGAAAAAATGTACGCGTCACACGACTAGAATGCCTCTTTTTCATAACATTTCTAATCACAGCCAAAGAAAAAATATCGTGGAATTAAGCGAGGAGAATAAATATGAATTATTTTGTAAAAATAGAGTAATAGAGATGTACAGATTGCTTACGTTATTGTTATAGATATTGATATGGTAAATAATTAAATTACTATTACAGAGTATGAAGTAGCTGTAAAAAATAAAATTATCGCAAGAATTTAGATACCAAATAATATTTTCATCAATCAATATTTTCATCATTTCAATGGAAAAACAGCTATATACTCATGATATCCTATTATAGCAGCGATATAAAATATTGGTTTTAATTTATAGAATATTTTTAGAATATTGAATTTGCGATAGTGATTTATTTCATATATGATTTAATTAAAAAGAATTATATATAAATATATTTGCACAATATAAAATAATAACTGCCATTTTATAACAAAAATTAATTATTCCAGTTAGCTCGCGTCATTGTTAAAAATTCTCACTAAATAATTGAATTTATTCAAATTACCTATTTACCTACATTACTTTAAAATCTAAGTATCAATTTCCCAATTGCAAAAAAATGGGCCATCGTGACACATGAAATATATTTCAACGTGAAATTACAAAGTTCAAATAATTCCAACATTCCATTACGTTTCACAAACTGCTACGATCGATGCGCTCCTTTGGAAGATCATAACCGAATCGAAAATTGAAAAGAGCAAACCAAGCAGAGAATTACGTCACGGCGGGAGGGAACCGTAACGACAGAACGATCCTGTAATGAGTATGTAGGTTGGCCGGTTCTTTGCTAAAGGGTACGCGTTACGCTGAAGTACCATACTGTCTGCGCAAATCCAATTTTACGAGGCTCGATCCCAGCGGATCGAAGTGCATCGCCTACACCAGGGGGGATGCCACGCAATACGCGCCGGTCTCTGGCATGACGGAAGCTGAATTCCACGGGGAGTCGGAGCTTTTGGCGACTTAGCTAGGCAAGCGTGGCTGGCCTTGGATAGCGGCCTCCCAGCCCGGTGTTGGATGACTGGGGGCTGTGTGTAGCGAGAGGAGGGACGGCAGGAGGGTCAAGACGAAAGAGGGAAGGGCCGAGATACGCTGGAGGGCGGAGAAGCGGTCGAGAGTTGCCGGCAGAACCGATCCCATGCTATCGTCGGCAGACGTATAGCCCCTCCGCCTTTGAGGGCTTCGTGAAAAAGAATCGTATACAGAGAGAAAGAGGGAAGAGGGCTGGAGGCAAAAATCGCGCGGAAGTATACGCTTCCACAAATAACTATAGTATTTTACAGTTCTCCTCGTCTTCGGCCATAACTGCCCGGGTCATACGGTGTCATAAATCTCGGCCTCGTAACTTTCTTTTACGCTTCGCCAGTGATATCGTGGAACGGTGTAAACTGGAATTTAAAAAAAATCTGTCCATCTGCGCGATCGTTAGACGGTCAGAAAACTCGGCCTTTCCAACGTTACTTCGCTCCTCGTTCACTTTTAACTGCACTTTCGTTTTTCTCTTACTCGCGCGTATCGCCTTTCTCCCTCTATTCTTCCCCCTCCCCCCCTCATTCTCTTTCTCCGTCTGTTACAGTGTAGTGTACTCCTTCTCTTTGCGTGCACGTGCTATTAATGTATAAACGGGAATGTTGTTAGTTACTAATCGCAATGACAGTCGTAGAGGAGTCGTATGCACGCGTGTCCGTTCTCGCCTAAAGTGCTTAACCGAGGGGTGATTTTGCAACTTTTCTAGGACAAAGGTGCATTCGTAATTTCGGAAGTTGTAACGAGGCTGCTTTGAATTTTGATGAGCCACGGATCGGACAGCACCGTTCCGGCCTTTCGTTCGTTACCGGCTCAAACTGCGACCCGACATTCGCGCTAATTTCAACCGTCCCACGTTCGATCCTCCTTCCCTCCGTTTTATCCTGATTACAGTCTTAAGTGCCACTATTAATTAACCCTCTGCATGCGCCAGTCCGGGTGTCGAGGAGAAAAGAATAAACCGACGCTTTCCAAACGTGTTTTTAGTTAACATTGAGGGCCGACTTAAGTCGAACTTTATATCCTTTCCCCTTCTAAGAAACCAAATAAACTCGTCTCCTTTATTGCATCGCTGTTGTACGTATCGTTCTTTTGCGCCCGGTTTCTAGCAATTTCAACCTGGGGGAAAAGGATGAAAAAGGAAACGCGGAACGTAACGTTATAAAGCGCGACCGTATAGACGCATCCACGGGGGTGGAACGAATCGCGTAAACTGATTTGCATGAAAAGAATGTAAATCGTTCGGACAAAGCAATTTAGGCGGCGGCTATACATAACTCCGTCGTATCAGCCGCGTTTTAAAAGTAGACAGCTCGCTCGACTTCCGTTAAATCGCGCTCACAATCAGTCGTTGCAATCGACGAATTGCGGTTGCGCCGGCCCTGGAACACTCTTCGTGTGGGGGGTAACTACCAACTCACCCTACTCTCTCCCCCCGCTGTACTTCAACTACGAAATACACACACACACTCGTTTAACGCAACTTCGCGAGATCGCGTATATATATATATATATGTATACGTTCATGCATCGCCACGAGTTCGGTCGAGGTAGTAAGTCGAGTGGTTTCGTGTATACGCAACCGAATAAGTGGCAGCGTTCGTGTTGGTGAGAGATTCGAATGTGTGGCGGCAGCGTAGTACGAAGATCGGTCGGCAGTGGCGCCACGCTCGTGGCCGAGCGCACTCACGGCACAGACTCCGTACAGCCGTAGCGCCATCGAGTTTCGCTTTTCGTCGTTCTCGGTACGTCGCTGCGGGCCGTGTAGCCAGACGACAGTTTGCCCTGTGTGCCTGGACGGGGCGGTGGAATTCGATCGTTCGCGTGGTGACGTTACACACGTTTTCGGAGCGGTATCGCGTGAGAGAAAAAGTGACATTAACGGTTTTGCATCACGGTCACACGGGATAATTGTTGGCACGCGTACGAACTCGACACATGAAGAGGAAAATAATTGGTGCAAAGTGGACGAGGAAAGAAGACGAGGCAAGTAGTAGAACCGGCAACGATTCGAGGAATGACCCCACATGATCGTTTGCGGTCACACGACGCTTTGATGAGTCGCGATACGACGCGATGATATCTTCCAGGTGTTTATTATTCCCACCTTGACTACATCACGCGTTGATTTTTTTATTATCGCCTCTTATCCGATTAGTGTGTTCGGTGTGAAAGAAAATCAAAGTGTTTTTAAATCGAAAGGGAAAGAGCAGAGGAGAGGAAAAAGTTTAGTTTTGTTTGTTTACTCCCGTTCGTCGCACCGCGAGAGTCATGGGTGATGTGTACACGCTAGTTAGTGACCTGCTCGTGAAGGATACACCCGCGGACAGAAGAAAAATCGACCTGACCACGCCACCCGCAAGGGTAAGTCTGCTCTACTTATCTTCTCGTTAATTTCTCTCACGATACTCCGTGTTTGTCATTCGTTCGTTTATTACGCGACCTCGTGTTCTCCTCCGTCTTGTTCTGTTTCGATCTCGAAAAAATTAAGGATGGTATCGTCACGGCCGGAGGCGAGAAAAAGAGACCACTGTTAGGGGTCGAGACGTAGAAGTATCAAAAGAGAGAAAGAGAGAAAATGGCTATTGTGGTCTCTCGATCCTTTTTCTTCGAATGCTCCTACTCCGATTTGTGCGCGTTTTCTTTCTCTCTCTTTCTCTGTCCTCCTCCGATCCGTACGCGCGCTTTCTCTTCGTCTCTGTCACGTTCCGTTCTCCTTGCTCCCCGTTCTTGACTGGTTCGAGAACTCGGCGTCGTTCTCTCATCGTGCTTCTTTTTTTTTCTTCCTTTCTTTCTTTCTTTTTCACCGTTCGGAGGCAAGGTGACGCCTCCGAAGTTCGACGAATCGAAATGTGCACGCCTAGCGCGTTTAGATTATTACACTCGACGAGAGGCCGCTTTGTGCCAGGCGCATTGAATCACGTACGCGGATGAAAGATTAAAGTCGGAGCGCGCGTGCGACGATTGAAGGTGGATCGTCTTTTTGGCACGATCGAACTGTCAATCGCAACGAAGGGATAGAGCCTTGGGTAAAGACGGATCGAAAGTGTCAAACTCAGCTGGTGGGAGAACGATGCTCGAGAAATCTGAGACGGTTCATCATCGATCATCGAAATAACTCTCTATTCGACTTTTCTAATCGGATCGGAATTCAATACGTTTCTTAATCGATTAACGTTTCTCGAATTTGTCATTGATGAAAGAAACTGGAAATGTTAACCCGTCAGTTTGGTATTAAAAATTCGTTCTTTCTATGTTGCTGTATGACATCATAACTATATTTACCAATATAACAGACGCTGCATTATGTGTTTGTATACGTTCGTACTACACATGCTATAGTGCATCGACATCATCGTATACGTAGATGGAATATCTATCCATAAATAAAATAGTTTTTCATTTGATTATTTTTGCGCGTTGTAACAAAAATTTTACGCGGTGATTCGTAAACTTCATTTTCTTTTTATTGTTATATTTTTATGTTCTTTTTTTATATACACATAATATTTAATTAACTTCTATATTTAAAATGTTTAATTACGTTAAAATTTGCATAATAAAAATTATGCAATAATAGGATAAATAATTAATTTATGATTTCATTATGCATTATATTCTGTTACGTATCGTGATCATATAGTAGCAACGATTAAATCTTTTTTTAATTAAAAAAATATAAATAAAATGGGAAAATTATTATTTATAATTATTTTTCTAAAAGATTATTTTAAATTGAATAGATTTAAAAAATTTTTAATTAAGATTGTTAATTACGTCTCAAGAACAAAATATACATATAGTATCTTTTGTTAGTCATAAATTGAAACTATGAATATGCTTATTTTTTGTTCCTGATGTCTAATTGGATGTCTAATCGTAATAAGCAGATTCAGAAATTAGAATAGATTTATTTTCTTTTTTAAATAAAATATGGGAAATAAACACGTAGCAATATGATTTTGTAAATACGCAATTATTAATCTCTAAAATAATCGGTACGTAAGTTATATTTCATACTCTTTTTTTTCAAAGATTAGATAATAAGAAATTGAATAATAAAATCATC